GCAATGGGCAGCACCTGGGAGGCAGGGCCCAGCTCCCCCGAATTAACAGCAGGCAGCTGCTGACCCAGGGGGTTGCAGAGGCATCTGGATCACATTTAAATCTGGGCAAGATGAATGACATTTAGACAAAGGCAAGGTGACTGGAATAAGCCAGAACCATTTGTCCTTACAAGCTCCGGTGCAATTGCTGTTAGCAGAGAAGGGGTTTGTGCCTGGCCGAAAGGCAGGACACCACATCTGTGGAGTAAAACAAACAGATTAAACAAATGCAGAAAATATTTTTGGGACCTTTGTCATAAGGCTGAAGGAGATGGACATGAACAGAGCACCAGAGCAGAGACTCATGTACCCCTGCGTCAGCCCGAGGCTTCAGCAGAACTTAAACCACACTAATTCCGAACACCTGGGCAGCACGAGCTTTCTACTTATTTCTCAAAGAGTTTGAATCCCCCTCTCCTTCAGAGCACACTTACTGACACCCAAGCGTAGCACAGCTTTGCCCCAGAAACTGGTTTCCTCTTTACAGCACAGCCACGGAAAATGGCACCAGCCGCAGCTCAGCAGTGTCTGTACTGGGCAGCCCGTAGCTTCTCTGGGCCCTCCTAGATTTATAATCAGATAAAAAGGAAAAGAAAAATACTTCTTTCTTCAGTAAATTCTCTCCTGCTGATGCACTGGCAGTTTCACTTATCCTGCTATTGTTGTTTTGGAAGGAGCTGTGTCAAACGAAAGTTATCGAAAAAGGAAACAGCCCACGCAGGGAGCCCACGGCTGCAGTCACAGCATCACCTCCTCCGGGTACCCACCAGCCTGGGAGCGCGGGGAACTGATGCCCCATTAGGCAATAAATGTTTTCTTCAGATCTGATGCATTTTGTTGCTGAGATGTTGGAGAGCAGGGGTTCTGAAGAGATCAGAAGCGGGGCTTGCAAAAAGAAATTGAACACCCAATTCACCTTGTAGTGTCATTCAACTCGGAGTTGGGAAAAGTCAACCTTAAGCAATCGGGGACACAAGACAAGGTGACACGTGGAAGTTTTTTCAGCGCTGACTCAGTCCGCTCAGCTTCACACCGAGCTTGCAAGAGAGCTCTACTAAAAAAGCAGTACGTACAGGCAGCAGTAATAGAGGCTAACCAGACGAGGGCAATCATTAACTATTTTCAGCGAGTGTGCCAAGCATTTGATGAGTAACTGGAATATACAGAAGGCTAGAAATTTATCTTTAACCGTACAGACTGAGAGGAAGAGAGGGCTTAGCTATAAGCAACCACCCCATTCCCTTGACAGCCAGAAGCAGCCCAAGCTGGGGCAGATGTTCCTGCCCAAACCCTCTGGACCAGTCAAGAGCTCCCCAATAATGTTCATCCCAGCAAGGTTTGCAACATAGGATGACGACACCAACAAATTATCCTCCTGCCAGAGAGAGGGGGGTGCTAACCCAACCCAGGCTGGATTTTTACTTCTACAGAGAAAAAGGTCCTGTTTCCTCATTTCCCCATAAGCTCGGCACCCTGGAGGAGAGAAGGTTCGAGCGCCAAGATTCACATTGCTCTCCGTGCCTCCGGTTACAGCCCTGCGCTCGTCGGGCACCTCACACATCCCTTACCACACCCCCAGCCCCAAAGGGAGGAAAGCACTGTCACTGCGTTTGTGAAAGTCCAGGGAGTATAAAAAGAGACTGCATTTGTTGCGTGTCTGGAGAGCGAGTCAGTCTAGCTGTAACCTAGTAATTAAGCACTGGAAATATCTCTCTTCCTTAAAAAGGAAGGAAAGGAGAAAAGCTGGAGGGAACACAGCGAAGAAGAGAGCCCTGCTGCCCTGCTCCTCCCCCTGTGGCACCAGGGTGCCCTGTCCCCGTACAGCAGCATTCACTGGGCAGCGTTTCAGTGTTGAGCCTTTGGCATGATCCCTGTTAGCAAAAATGAATCTTACAAGGTCAAGTGCACTCGATTCCCTCTTGGTCTCAGGGCACAGGCACCTGGCCAGTCCTTGTTTCGGACACATCTTCATCAGCTTGTGACACAAAACAACCCCCCAGCTCGAGGGTGAGACAGTTAAAGGGTAGGAGAGGTCAGCGGTGCGAGAGGGGATGCCGCCAGCAGCCTTGAGCACTGAAGTCCACGGGTGCGTCGATAAGCGTATCAGCTGACCGAAGCTGACACCGCTGGAAAGCAGTGGCTCAGATTACAAGGACCCAGACTTTACAAGTAGATTTATAGCTGAATAAAAGCCTTGAATTACAGTCAGAGACATAAGGAACCAACAAACCCAGGCTGGCCCCTGCAGCAAGTTTTGTTAACTAAATCAGAGGCCACTTGCACTACCAACTACAGTTCCCGAATGACCTTCAAGGATAGCTCCTGGTTGGGCTTTTGTTGTTTTAAGAAAGAATTGTACAAAGCCTTTCCTTTGAAAACCCTATAAGCCAGGTTCCTTCAAGGGCATAAATTGGACTGCGGAGCTTCCAGCTTTTCTGGGAAACTCACTTCTCTGAAGAGAGAGTTATGGATACTGCACAGATGAGCAAAGTCCAGCAACGCTCAGAGACAGTGTCTGAACATCCCTGACTCATCACTACCACCATTTGCCTTGATCTCAGGTTTGCTGATTTTGCCTTTAAGATTAATTCTGTTCTCCCAGGTCCTCATAGGGAGAATCCCTCCCAGTGTCAGCATCCTTGGTGAGAATCATCCCAGGAAGAGTCTGGCCACGAAGAGCACCAATAAATCATACAAAGAGATGCAGACACATGGTGTCTCTTTGACAGATCTTTATTAGCAGACTGTTCCCTACATGAAGAATCCGAGTTAGATTTGCATTATAACAATCTGTGGTTACAGCTACAAAGATGGTTGTCATTTTGCATTGATTTTTGCATTCTGATATTCATATTCCCATTAGGCCACACTGGTAGGAAGGAGCCACTGCAGAATTTATGACAGGTCTCAAGAAGAGGGGGGTGGAAAAAAATCGTATCACTAATCCAGATTGGTGAGATTTTCACGTGGCTAACTACTGACAGCACTGGATAGTCAAAGCAGAGCCTCATCTGGAAGACTCTCCATGAAGTACCAAAATGTGTCAGAAAAAAAGCAGCTGCTGAGTGCTAGCAAACCCTTTTCCAATTTCTCACACACCTCACAGTGCCCGCTTGCATGTGAAAAGCACTGGCTCAGCAGCAGGGTCTGCTGATTCACCCTCAAAGCACCACTGCAGCAGCTTGTGTCCAAGTGCAAGTTTCCTTCCATCTCTCTGGAAACTTGTATTTTCTTTAGTCCCTGAGATTTCTCCCCTCCCCCCTTACCTAAAAATTCCCCAAGATCGCTCTCAATTAGCCATTGTGACATCCAACATACACAGACCTTCTACTTCCCAACTTTAGCCATCCACCTGAAAGCCTTCCAGCCGTGCACAGAGGCAATTCCAAAATAAGGCGAGCCTCTCAGTGCACCCTCTCCCCTCCTCCCAAGGTACTGCTTCCTCACCTGCTCCCTTCTCTCCTATGGCTTCTTGCTACAGAATTTCTCTGGGCTGAGGTCCTCCAGCAACAACCCCAGACATGGGAAAGGCAGCTCAAGCCCCAAAGGGAAGGTACACAAGTGACTTTAGCATCCCTCCCCACGACACAGCTGTGTGATGTAAGAGAACAAATAGAGAACTTTTTTAAAACAGGAGAAATACAAGCACAGTAACAATATTTAAACAAGTCTATAAAAATAGTCCGACATAACTCTGTTCAAATAAATACAAAATAAATATGATTTAAGCAGTAAAACAGTGGAATGCAACGCTGGTCCATTTTGCCCAAAATGAAAAGTTGGATGAGGATCTCCCAGGCCTTAGAAGCCAGATCCTATCGACTAAATTTGCCTATAATGCAATCAGAGAAATTT